CGTACTAAAGTTGTACTAGAAAGTCGCCAGTTCTCAGCTTCCAGCTCCACAGATACTCCGCGTACTAAAGTTGTACTACAAAGTCGCCAGTTCTCATCGTCCAGCTCGCCAGATGATACTCCGCGTACTAAAGTTGTACTGCAAAGTCGCCAGTTCTCAGCTTCCAGCTCTACAGATTGCTCCACGCACTAAAGTTGTACTAGAGGGTCGCCAGTTCTCAGAGCTCTACAGATTGCTCCGCGTACTAGAGTTGTACTAGAAAGTCGCCAGTTCTCAGCTTCCAGCTCTACAGATTGCTCTGCGTACTAAAGTTGTACTACAAAGTCGCCAGTTCTCAGCTTCCAGCTCCCCAGATGCTGTGCCTGCCACGAAATCTGCACATGGAGGTTCACAAAGTGCTGCGCCTGCGAAGAAATCTACACATGGAGGTGCACAAAGTGCTGTGCCTGCCACGAAATCTGCACATGGAGGTTCACAAAGTGCTGCACCTGCCACGAAATCTGCACATGGAGGTTCCCAAAGTGCTGTACCTGCCAGGAAATCTACACATGGAGGTTCACAAAGTGCTGCACCAGCCACGAAATCTACACATGGAGGTGCACAAAGTGCTGTGCCTGCCACGAAATCTGCACATGGAGGTTCACAAAGTGCTGCACCTGCCACGAAATCTGCACTTCAAGAAACAAGTGAACACTCTAATCCCAAGGGACGGACGATTCCGAGCATGATCCGAGAATGATCCGAGACCGTCTCGCACCCGTCGTTCCGCAGACCTTGACTTGCCAGCTTCGGAGCCACCGGTTCCATTGAAAAATACAGCATTTCGTGCGTTCGCTATCTCTCCACAACGCATTTTGTATTGCGCCTGCCACGACATCTGCACATGGAGGTGCACAAAGTGCTGTGCCTGCCACGAAATCTGCACATGGAGGTTCACAAAGTGCTGCGCCTGCCACGAAATCTGCGCATGGAGGTTCACAAAGTGCTGCACCTGCCACGCAATCTGCACCTGGAGCTGGAGTTGCCTGGAGCTTGAGCTGTTGAAACCAGAGCTGGTGTATGAGCGGTGTATGATGAGTGGTGTATGATGAGTGGTGTATGATGAGTGGTGTGTGATCAGTGGTGTGTGATGAGGGGTGTATGATGAGTGGTGTATGATGAGTGGTGTGTGATCAGTGGTGTGTGATGAGTGGTGTATGATGAGTGGTGTATGATGAGTGGTGTATGATGAGTGGTGTGTGAGCAGTGGTGTGTGATGAGTGGTGTATGATGAGTGGTGTATGATGAGTGGTGTGTGATGAGTGGTGTGTGATGAGTGGTGTATGATGAGTGGTGTATGATGAGTAGTGTATGATGAGTGGTGTGTGATGAGTAGTGTATGATGAGTGGTGTGTGATGAGTGGTGTATGATGACTGGTGTGTGATGAGTGGTGTATGATGAGTCGTGTATGATGAGTGGTGGTTGAACAGCTGTTGAATGTCCGTAACACGGAAGTTTTGCACACTAAACTCCCTTTGAATATATATATGTATATACATATATATAGATAAATATTGTAAATTTTCTCTCGGTTCACAAATTGTCTGCTACCCCAGAATGGCCCCTACCTCCTCCAACTTTATGCTCAGGTGGCTCACAAAAACCATCCTCCTCTAAATTTTGCCCTCGGGTGGCTCGCAAAAGGTCTGCTACCTTGGAATGTGTCTTGTAAGCTCCACATGTAAGCAATCCCGCCAACACCGCAAAACAACCATGACATACGCATTCGCAAAGCGTATTGAAGCGTCGCTGTCTAATATAATGTATTGTGTATATTAAAGTGTGAAATATGACTGTGGGCAAGTTGCGCAGTGCTACGTCACACAGTAACTAAGCAGCACAGTAGACAACAAAAGCAAAAAAATTGCAAGAACAACCAAAACAATTAAAAACACGAGCCAAACTAAAAACAAAAAAGCAACAACCAAATCACACACCAAAAACCCAAAACCACACCACACAAACAAAATAGAACATCAAACAAAAAAACACAGAAAAACAAAAAATGGGAACATCCACAACATGAACAGATCAGAAAGACAACAATTTGTAAAAACTAGGGGCCACGCAGGCACGGCACTTTGCTCGCCCTTGCCTGAGTATATGTTCTCAGAAGTCGAGTCCAGCATCACAGGGCTCAGGATGCGTAGCAAAACAAGCGCAAAGTGACGGCCGAAACGCAAAGTCTGACACACCATGGCGACCCTTTTCATCGGATTGCCCGTTCAATCATTCAGTGAAGCAGCTCTCTGTAACAATGGTCAGCGAACCGGGGAGGTGGGACTGAGTTCAAGACTGTCTTCCCCAATTGAACACGTCCCACTCCGGCCTGGTTTGACATCAGAAGCAAGTCGGATAAGTCTGAATGGATGATCACAGTCTGAGCGATCACGTCTGGTATGCGCAAAGGAAGATCAATCAGCACACATGTTTCGACTCATAACTAATTCAATTTCATTGAACACACGTGTTTGAGTGTTTTTCCAACGTTTTCCGGAATCTTCCTCATACTGACGTGGCCAAAAAAACGATTGCTCCTTTCCCCTGAAGCCCGCGCCGCCAGGTGAGCTGGCCTGGCAGTTTTGTTCTGTTTGTGACATGCACTGATGTGTCCGTGTGGAGATACCTTTGCCCGTGGATTTAAAATATTGAGCCAGCCGCAAGCGATGTAAGGGTTGCACGTTTGGGATTCATGCAAGGGCCTGCGACGCACACACACACACTCTCTCTCTCTCTGTCTCTCTCTGTGTCTCTCTCTCTCTCTGTCTGTCTGTCTCTGTCTGTGTCTGTGTCTGTGTCTGTCTCTCTCTCTCTCTCTCGGCAAATGCGTGCTGAATACCGCTTGCTCTGAAGAAGCCTAAGTGAAACGTTTGCCTGAGTAAAACAGTTCTCTGCAGACTTGCACTTGAGTTTTGGCCTCACTTCCGTTTAAGGCTCCCCAGGACCCCTTGGGCTTCGCCTGTCAAGGTCCAACTGCACTGGTAATGTAATCACTAGAGTGGGCTGCCACAACTGCCACAACTGATTTAGCTTTTGCGAGCATCAATCTAAGTGTGTACACCTTGGAGTTAGAGGCTACCTGCTTACGATGGTACTGTAACGCAGGGGGCATGGCAGCTGTTTCCCTGGCCATGCCAAAGAAGTTATATATGGGATTCCGGAAGGGAATGTGGCCGCACATTCCTGTACCTGCAATGTTCTGATTTTTGACTTTCCGCTTCCTCCTAGGCGGCGTTTGTATTTTTGTAGATAAGTTGAACAGGACTCTGTCCATTGCATCGGTTTTGCTGTCAAGGGCTAATACTTTCTGCAGACTTGCGCTCGTCAGTTGGGTCTTTCGTGTTTTGGAATTTCGTACTTGTGGAGAGCTTTCGGTGTCGAGACTTGAAAGCCGTGGAGGTCTTAAACGGAAGTGAGTCCAAAAGCCCAAGTGCAAGGCTGCAGAGAAACCCGGGGTCTGCCGAAGGAACGCTTAAAAATTTGGTGCAGGTGCTTTTTCACACCTGACACTGCCGGTCTTCGTTGGCCACAGCGGCAGTGGCAGGTCTGTGGCCCCCTGCTTGGTTCGTTGAAAAATTATTAGGAGTCAATTAGGAGCATGAGTCACCGTGCAATGGTGAGTGTCCTTTGGTACAGGTGTGGACACACACACACACACTCACACTTACACTTGAGAAGGAGCTCGGTGGAGCACACTTCAGAAAGGAAAACAGTCTTGCTTTGGCTCCTTGTCGTTACTGCAAAAGACCTTGGCTGGAGCATGGTAAGACGAAAAGTCTACAGCATTTTTAAATCAGGCCAGACATGAACAACGCCGAGGAAACTCTTTGCAGGTACTGTACGCTTGGCTGATCAGTCCAAATATCAGCACGACGGAGCTTGACCCTCTTTGCTGGATCACCAGTCAAGTCCGTGGGTGATGCCCCTACAGAAGACCCACAAACATGGCTTGTGTTTGGCTTTGTTGCCGAAGGCATTGTGGGGGTGTGCGGATCATGTCAAGGTCGCATGCACATGTTTGACCTCTCTAACTCAAGAGATTCGATGACATGCTCACCTTCTGATTATGATTGACCACCGCTCAAGACAATTCATATTGGACTGACAATAGACACATCAAGCCCAAAGTCTGCCAACAAAACAGCACACTCCGTCGTGACTCGCAGGCTCACGCCTCCTTCGGTGTCTCCTTGGATACTTCGGCAGCCTTGACTTCGCTAGTCTTTAGACAATGGGGGGTGACATAGTGACAGGTTGTATTTATTTTCAACCAATATCAATAAATTATCGACCAAACTAATTAATCCAACTTAGCACTGACTCCCGGCGCTGTGCCTCATTGCCTGGCTCCTGGGAAAAGGGAAAGCCAAGAGAAAGGCAGGCTATGTGACTTTCGAGTATCAACCTGCCCAATGCAAACTCAAATCTATTGTAGGGAGCCCTCCTAAATGGTTATGGCTTGGAGTTGAACTGTACTCCAGGAAAACCATGGCAACAAAGGCCTTTCAGTCAGGACAGCTCTGGTGCTCACTCCGGAACATATAAGACCAAACTGATCCAGGATTGTCACGCAGCTAGCTGGTGCAAAGTAAATTCCAAACCCGCAGCCATTTCCTGAATTACAACAACAACCGTTAACCTTTTCCAGGAGCCCCTAGTAGCATCCTTGCTGCTAGTAGTACGGCCAGGAGCCCCTAGTAGCGTCCTTGCTCCTAATAGTAAGGCCAGGAGCCCCTAGTAGCATCCTTGCTCCTAGTAGTAAGCCCAGAACCCCTAGTAGCGTCCTTGCTCCTAGTAGTACGGCCAGGAGCCCCTAGTAGCGTCCTTGCTCCTAGTAACTAGTAGTACGGCCAGGAGCCCCTAGTAGCGTCCTTGCTCCTAATAGTAAGGCCAGGAGCCCCTAGTAGCGTCCTTGCTCCTAGTAGTACGGCCAGGAGCCCCTAGTAGCGTCCGTCACAAGATCAGGAAGCGGGATGGATTATGATGGATTACTGTACTTGCATTGCAATGCAAAATGGACTCACCCTCATCCGTCCCGTCCTCAGAAGATGCGCTTGCAGGAGACTGCACCTCAGCAGCGCAAGCAACTTTGATGTGTCAAAATCAACATCCAAGGCAGTGTAGTAGCATTCTTGTTAATTACTAGTAGTAAGGCCAGGAGCTACTAGTAGTGTTCTTGCTCCTAGTAGCCATGTCTTTGTTCCTAGTAGCAAAATCAGCAGATTATTGGCAATCTCAACAAGTGCCGGAAACATCCGGAAACACAAGCTGCAAATCTGATTTCTCTGCGCAAACAGCTAGTGGCCTCGGCCAGCTTCCGGTCAACCTGGGCTTTGCACATCTGAGTTGATTCTCTCAGGCTAGGTATATCCCAACAATCTGTGACAACGTCCTAAACCTCACGAATGGCACTGGGTGGGCCGGCCTTGTTGCCCTTTTGCTTGGGCTCAACCTGGCAACGAATACTTTAGACTTGCCCGATGCTTTTCGGCCTGGACTCTGATTTTGGGCAACCGTCAACCATTCCTCCACTCCCTTGCAATGTCGACATTGCGAACTGACCCTGCAGCACTATGTCAGGAGGCCACCACAATCACCCAAAAAGAACACCACAATCAAGCAAGGGTGAAATGTTTTTCCTCCATCGAGCATGAGGGGTATCTCAAACGAATGACAATCCGGTTGTCCTCCACTTCGGTGATAGACCTCCGAAAGAAGAACATGCCATGAAGAAGTGCTCCTAGTAGCGTCCTTGCTCCTAGTAGTAAGACCAGGAGCCCCTAGTAGCGTCCTTGCTTCTAGTAGCGATGCCAGGAACCCCTAATAGCGTCCTTGTTCCACAGAATGCGGGTTTTGCAAAGCCTGAGAATTGGCGCTAAATGCAATCACCTAAATATTCCATGCAATTCTTTCAACACAGTCAGCTGTGGATACTGTATCTTGATTCCAGGCTTGGCAACCCGAACGCACAAGTTGACTGGTCTGAACCTTGTCTCACGGGCTCCTGCAAGGTGTCGCTGCCAACATAGGGTGGATCGTGCCGAGCAGCTGGTACATTCTTTGCTCATATACGTACAGGAAGTTAGTGATGCGCATGTTGAATTCCGGACCAACGTGGAGCAGTACGCCCTATGATTTTGCCACCTCGGCCTCTAATAACGGCTTCTGAACCAAACGATCGCTTTTGAGTCGTTGAGGGAATCCTTTCACTGCCACTAGCTTTGGGTATCTTTGTCCGAGGGCTCCTCTCGGATGGGTTCTTCCAGGATGGGAGGCGCCAATTGCGTGGAGATCACTTTTCGAATGGTAGGCCTTGGCTGTCTATGGAGTCTATGGCTGTCTTGGACCTGGGATCCGTCCGCCACAAACCCCCCCCCATGAGTTAAATCGTTAAACCTCTGAAAAGGTGCCAGATTTCGATGAACTCATGAATCTTCATTTCAATCTTCCCCCTCTTTTTGATGGATCCAGAGATCCTTTTCTCCCAACCCTTTTGGGAGATTCGTCTGGATTCGACCAAAAAGGACATCGTACCGTGCACCGAGGCTCCAGCAGTTCTGTGGGACCGTTCGGAGCGGGAGCGACAGGAACGCCCACGGGCGGCTTCGGGGGCGCCGCGTCCAACGGCCGGGCCACGGGTCGTGGAGGTCCCCGACCGAAGTCGTGCCTCGCTTCGAGCGGTTTTGGGGGTGTGAACATGAGAAGGGGCATCCCAAAATGGCGGCCTGGCGGCTTTCCCACTTGCAAATCATTGTTGTTTTTCCTAGTACTGGTCAGTTTACAGGATCACTCTCTATGGCGCCTGAGACCGTTTTCACCCAACTGAAGTCCCGGGCCTGGGATAACCCCGTTCACGATGCTCTCGGACAGAGCCAGGCCCTGAGTACCTACGCCAGTCGAAGCCATCCACATTCCAATAGCCCATGCTGAAACTGTCAACCTTCCCAACATCCACATATCCAACCTTTCCCAACTGATTGTTCTGCAAAGCTGCGAGTCTTTTGGCTCCCCAAAAAGGGAACCCTGGCCTCCTCGCTGCTTCCATTGCGTTCTGGTCAGACTCCGACTGAGCGTGACATGAGGGAACCAACACCATGAGCAACCTGCTTGAAAAACCATCAACTACTATTTACGTACCAAAAACACTCACCCCACCCCCACCCCACCCCCAGCATTATGGTTGACATGCACTGCCACTTAGCCTCTAATGATCTTTATGCTCAGGAAAGATTGTCATTCCAAGCAGGTCTGGCAGATCAATTCTTTTACTGAGCTGTGGTGATGAGTGATGACAGTGAAATGCCAACAAATACAGTAAGACTCCCTTTGATAAGCTGCGTTGATAACTTGCTTCAAGTAGCTTCTCACAGTGAGTTCTGAATCAACAAATTTACCTACCCACTTTGCTATGCTGCGCTCGGCTCTCGTTGGATTTTGATTCCTTCGCACTGCCGGTATGGGCCGAACCGCCTGAGCCTCGGACGCGTGTCGCCTCCGTGACACCATCTGGAAGCTGACTTGCCTCATGGACTTCGCTGAAAAGCAAAGGCAACTATAGGCTTGTCTGCTCCAACGTGTGCATTACCGGAGATATGAGATCGGCTATGGGGACCCTTTAGAATCCTTCTCAGGTCGCTAAGCCTTGCTTTGTTCGGCCAAACGGCGCAGAATCGTGCCCTCAGTGGTCTGAAGCCCCTGTTCCAACCTATTGGTAAATCGTATAAATCCCGCATCTTTTCAACTGAACCCACACAAAAATGGGATTTCGATCAGCTGGGACGGGCTCTCCGTCTTTCGGACGCATTGGTATGGCTCATGGCTCACGCTGAGTCTGCTGCATCACATCCATTGGTATGCCTGCCTGTAGCTCTCACCCATATGCCTACAGCGACAGCAATCAGCCGACTGGGAGATGTTCACATCATCAACCTCTCCCAGTCTGAAACAGGGACACGTGCCAAGGGTGGCCTCCCTTGTCATCAAGGTTTAAGGCCATCTCAAAGCGGCGCTGCTTGTCCTTATTGTGAGACCTCAACACCGCTGTAGCCGGAGGTGCGTGCTTGGAGGGGATTCACGTCTGTTCAAGTTTCATTTGCACACATTTGCAAATTCTCTTTCCACATTGCCAATCTCATTGCCACCTGTCCGGGTTTCCAGGCCACTCGATCACTTCAACCAAGTCCTTGCTGCAATAGCGGCCCTGAAGCTCATCACACTGCAGCACTGCCTGACAAATGCAGCTTGCCAGCAGGGCATCTTGCGTCTTTCACTCACAGGGCGTGGAACAGCATGGTGTGTGTGTGATGTCCCTTCAGCGAATTGCCACAACCTGCAAACTCCTGATCCTGGATTGACATCTTAATATATATATATACATTATATAAATAGATAGAGCTTATAAAACCTCAAATAGCTCCTCCATATCTTGTTAGCAGAAAGTTGACCCTTGCTGACAGACTGAACATGCCATAGATCTGCTTGCATACACCATCATCATGCATCAAAAAGGCTAATAGGCCAATCGGCCACTTAAGCATGATCATTATTGGGTGTTTGACCCAGAAAGGCCCTGTCCACCTCCCATGGGATAAAGCCATCTTTCCGCATCGCAGGAAGTTGCCGATGGCGAAGGACCATGCTCAAGGTCTCGTGGCGGCAAACGAGAACTTTGGTCCGCTGACATCAATAGAGCTCTGTTCTGTTTTGGCGCTGATTCTCTCCGTTCACATCATACCGAAAGCATCACTGTAGATGGCACACGCCTCTTCTTGTTACCTTCACATCAAACGGTTTGATTCCATGTAGTGGCTATTAGTGGCTCATCATATTTAGTCCATTCAGTCCATCATAGTCCACCAGTCTCAGTTTCCAAACACGTCTTCCCCTTACAGCGACACCTTGCTACCTCTTTCCCTTGGATCGCCCAAAGGAGCACGGTGTGGCCTGAGCGGTGTGGCACCGTTGGTCGAGCGGGTCGACACATGTCGTCCAGCCCCTAGTAGCGTCCTCGCTCCTCGTAGCGATGCTCTTTGCTCCTAGTAGCGTCCTTGCTCCAAGCAGTAAGGCCAGGAGCCCCTAGTAGCGTCCTTGCCCCTAGTACTACGGCCAGGAGCCCCTAGTAGCTTCTTGTTACTAGTAGCGATGCCA